TTTTTTTAAAAAAAAAATAAAATTAAGCACTGCCCAATTAAATATTACGCTATGGACAAACAATTTTTTTTCTTTTCCTGTATTTTTTTGGACAAAGCAAATTTGGGACGTAATTCTGATTTGACATTTTCATACCTTAGGACAAGTGTCATAAAAAATAAATAAAATTTAAATTTTAAAAATTTTTAAATAAATAATAAAAAAAACGAATGAAATTTTAATAAAGCCCCACCATCTCTTCAATTGGCCCAGTAATTCTACATCATTAGCAAAAGGACTTCCAAGTTCCTGGGTGACCTTTAGTACTTAACTGTTGCTTCGTACGACACGTACGTACAACTACTTTAAACAATGTCATATTAAGGAAGGGGTACCATTTCGTATTACGGAATTATATTATTAATTATCTTTAATAAATATAGTTTGATATAACTGGATAAAATAAAAAAAAAAATTAAGAGAAATAAACGTATAATTCGTTAGGAAATAGGAGTATAATTTTTGAAAAATTAAAAAAATGAAATTGTGTTTACAGATGGAATACATTTAATCAACTTTCTACTTGCCAATTTAAACAATTGTTGATTTAATGTAAAAACTAATAACCTAATTATGATGGCTTGGCTTCTCGGTGACATTCTTAAGGCCAAAGACATCAGACCGTTCATTTAGCTGACCCTGTATCGCATTCTCCATATCTTTCCTATATTTTCTGTCTTTTTGTCTTTTGTCTAAAAATAAAATTTACAACATGTTTGTCGTTATTTATTTATTGAAAATACTAATTTTAGCGCAAATTATTGTTATTAGATACAAAACCCTCATTATTACTGTTCTTTAGTTTTGTTGTTATCATTTTATGAATAAAACAAAAAATAAAAAGGAAAAAAAATGAAAACAAGAACTGCTCAATTTCCAATCTCAATTTTCTTTTTTATCTGGTCTCTGAACCCGTTCTTGTGCCGACCAATATCTCTCTCTACATAATAGCCACGTGTACAAATTAAACACCACAGTGTACCATATATGTATATTACCGGACCAAGGCTTTGACTCTCCAGACAAAACACTTGCAAAGAGCTCTCTAAATCTTCAAACCATAAAAAAACATAAAAAAAAAAAAATATAAAAAAAAAAAAATAAGAAAAAAAAAAAAAAAACATAAAAAATAACATACAAAAAAACAAAAAAAAAAAAAAAGAACAATAAATAAAAAAAGAAAAAAAAAATAATACAGAAAATAAAAAAAAAAACAAAAAAAAAAAAAAAATAAAATAAAAAAAAAAAACATAAAACAAAAAAGAAAATAACGAAAAAAAGACAAAAAAAAAAAAAAGAATAAATAAAAAGAAACAAAAATAAAAAAAAATAAAAGAAGAAAAAAACAAATAAAACAAAAAAAAAAAAAAAAAACAAAAAAAAAAGAAAAAAAAAAAAAAAAAGAAAAAAAAAAAAATAAAAAAAAAAAACAAAAAAAAATAAAAAAAAAAAAAAAATAAAAAATCAGAAAAAAAAAAAAAAAAAAAAAAAGAAAAAAAAAAAAAAAAAAAGGGAATAAAAACAAAGAAAAAAAAACAATAACACAAAAAAACACAAATAAATAATAAAAAAAAGAAAGAAAAAAAAAAATAAACAAAAAAAAAAAAAAAAAAACAAAAAAAAAAATTAAAAAAAACAGAAGGTACAAAATAAAAAAAAAAAAAGAAAAAAATAAAGTCAAAAAAAAAAAAATAAAAAAACAAATAAAATAAAAAAACAGAAAAAAAAAAAAAAAAAAAAAAAAGTAACAAATAAAAAAATAAAAAAAAGTAGTTCATTCTTCTTCGTTACTTGGACTCCATTAATATCACTTCTGCACCCCACCCACGCCGCCCCTCTAACTCCATTTGACGGATTTTGATCGTCAAAGCGCCCTTAAAAGTTGAAGAATCATTTCTTGATCTTTAATTACCGCCTAGAAAAGCTTAGAGGTTTTTCCGGCTTCGCCGCAGGCTTGTAAGAGTTTTCGATTGGATAATCCGAACCCTGTAGAAAACCACCCGTTTCCCGGCTCCTTGATTATCCCGTCAAGAGATCCATTAATCCCATCTCCAAAATCTTGGCTTAGGCTCGAAAGGTTACGACGGGGAACCAAAAACCGGCCGGTTTTTTGAATTCGAATAGAGGATATGTCCGTCTGGGCCATGCGAACCGGCGGACGGTACCGAGAGGGCACTTGGCTGTGTACGTGGGCGATATCAAATTGTGACGCGAGACGGAGAATTGGTGCCCTGTCATATACTTCAATCACCCGCTATTTGGAGAGTTGTTGAAGAGTGCAGAGGGCGGGTATACGGGTACAATTTCATTCGGGTGGGAATAAAGATACCATGCCGGTATTCGGAGTTCGAGAAGGTGAAGATGAGGATCGCCGCATGAGACAATTGCCACCGGGACAGTAATTGTCAAAGTCAGAATTGGTGATGTGGCAACAAAATTTCCCCTTTTTCTGGAATTAAAATTTGATTCCACCAGCTAGTTCTTAGTTTCGTGAATTATAAGACTCAAATAGCATATGATAATTTAGTTGTGCGCAGAGATTTTTTTTCCTTTTATATAATTTAATTTCACCCCTTTTCCCCACCTTTGGCATCCAACATTTCTTTCTCCATATCAAATCAACCTCAATTCATTAAAATAATTAACTTATATATACCAACACCTGTTATTGAAATCGTAAAAATTTTATTGTCTATGATTAAAAGTGATTAACACCTTTTAATTTTTTAAAATCTTAGAATGATATAATCTAGAATTCATATTAGAAAATTTGAAAGGAATTTTATAATTAATCTATTAACGATTATTTAGAAATAGATCATTTGATGCATGGAGATATTAAAAAATTCTCCGAAGATAGATATTCAATATTTTTATTTATTTAAATTTAATTATTTTTTAAAAATATTTGAATCGCTAATCACTTTTAATCTTAAATTTTTAGATTTTATTTTCCAATAAGTGTGGTTGTATTTTTTTATATTATTTATTTATGTATGAATCTCATTTGAAGTAGGCTCTATTTAACTCTGAATGTACATATTTATAATTTTATCTCTCGTAAAATTATGTAATCGAAGATCCTAAATTTGGAAACTTTCTACACTAGATATTATGTTTCAAAAAAAATATTTTTGCTTCGCTATGGTGGTCAAGATCTTTGCCTTATGAAACCATTGCATTCCTCTAAGGAAATTCGGACCATATGAAAAATGCCTCTCTAACGAAACTTTACTTTTAATAAATCGTAATGTATATTTTCCCAAAAAAAATTCAAAATGACCTTCCATTAAAGGGATCCGGACCTGAAAACACACAAGTCTCATCTCTCCAGTGGAGGTATACTGTTCTTGCAAGCAAATTCAAGAGAAGGAAAACCATCATACTTTCCTTAAAAGAGGTTTTACAGTTGGCTCCTTTAAAAGTCTACGATTGATTTCTTTAAGAAGAAAATACAAGGTTGAGAATTTGCTCAGAATTATTCTTACATTCGTGAAAATCTAAACAAATTACAACTTTACTTCTCGTCATAACCACTTCTTTTAGGAGTTGCTCCAAAATGGGAATGGGGGAAAAAAATGTTCCTCCCCATTGACAATAATAGGGCTAATTAGGCAGACATCAATTGCACATGCTCAGGTCAACTTTCATCATATTACTATTCAGTTATTTATAATGGTTGACGTTTGCTACTCAGTTTCAAGTCCCTGTTTTTTATTTCTTAACAATTGCATGCTGGCCTCTATTAGGAAACTTCAATTGTATTAGGTTGTCTTCCACCATTGGTTTTTGGTCCCCTACTTCCTAATTTCAAAGTTTTTGAAGGCCGTATTTTGAAAGTTCCATATAGGAATAAAATCTCAAAATCCCTATTCATAGATCGTAACCCTTGGTGTAGTACCACAAGAGTTAAGAGGAATATACGTGTGAAAAAGAACCAAGGTTCAAAGAAGAAAACTGCATACTAATCTTTTAGGGCATTCGAAGAAGTCAAACTTGAAATACATTAAAGATCAGCTTGTTATCGATTAAAGAAGGCCTTTCCGCTTATTCACAAAAGTGGCCTTCAAAGTTACAGTGTAAAGCTTATATTGCATTAATGTTCCCACAGCAAAGCCCATGAGATCTGTAGCTTTATTATAACAAATCTATAACCTATCATATGTTCCCTATAACAGATATTTCACATCAGAACACTAAAAATTTCTAAACTCAGCTGTGATTTTTGTGAAACACTATGAATAACTACTCGCACATTTTCCTGCCATGTGACTAATTTAGGCACTATAACCTCGGTTCAAAGGCTGCCATTGGCCAGCATCATGGCCGCTGCATCTGCGGCAATGCAAGCTTCTTCCAAATGAAGGCATGAGAGACCCCTCCATTGCAAACAATTGGCAAATGCACGCATGTGTTCATGCATACTGCGGTTAATATCCGCAGTATGTCTCGACACTCGAACCTGAGATTTAAGGTATGGAAACCAATTATCTTTAGTACTACTGCAAACCAACAAAATTATACAATAGGGGAGGCCAAAAACTTTTGACTTGGAAATGAAAATAATGTTACCATGATTTTAAAGCAAGTCCAATCATCTACTTAAGGGTAACCAGGTTCTCTAACAGATTGAAGAACAGTAGAACCTTTTTGGGGTCCAAATAAATAAGTTCCAATCAATTCTATGCTATTATCCCAAATGACTTCTGTGCTTAATTTGTCTCCTTTAATCTGCTGTAGGATTTTGTGCTTTCTGTTCCTGACTGCTCATCTTGATCTTTTGTACTGCAGGGAGAGAAAAAGACGAGAAAAATTACTACGGCTGGTAATCTTCATTTATAATATCAATTATAAGAAGCTGCAAAATGTAAAAAATACTACTCACCATTTTGCCACATTGAAAAGAGATCTGCATCTCTCTGTGTTAAAACAAACTTCCATAGGGGGCATTTGACATGGCATTAACTGGGGGGCAAATTGACATTTGCGGGGTCGAAACCTTGATATAAGTAGAGTTTCTTCTGTTCTTAGGCTTGAATTTCCATATTCCATCACATGAGGACCCAGCAGTATATGTGTTATAATTAGAAGTCCTCTCCTTTACCTTCATTCATAAATTTAGGAAAAGTTGAGATAAGCTGAAAAGAATTAAAAATGTTCATTTAAAATTAATTAAGTGTTTAAATCACAATAAAATAAATTTTTTCCCCCAAATTACCGTTCCTATATTGTTGCTTTATAGGTTTCCCTCTTCAGATTATGAGTCTCGCTGCAGAATAAAATTAATAGGCAAAATTATAGTTCTACTATTACATATTAGGAAATTTAATTTTAGCAGGTACTTACTAAGAAAAGAAGTAAATTTTGTGTGTCAGAACTGAACTGACCTGTCACTCCATCCCAAGCAAACACTATACAATCCCCTAAACAATAATGAATTCTGGAGTTGTGAGAAGGTCCATTCCAGGACCAATAAGTTTCCCCAGCTATTCTCTTGTGCATTTGATTGCTGTTTGTGACATAAACGTTTATGTCGTCCGGCCATGATCCCTTCGAAAATGCTTGCCACTTTCCACAAGCTTCTACATTATATCACCTGCAATTTAGCACAAAAAAAAAAAAAAAAAAAAAAAAAAAAAAAAAAAATCGGACTTTGTAACTTCACTCTTTGTTTATTCCATTCCATAGATCCTCATACTTTGAAAATATTATATGTTTTAATTATTACCATTTTTTCATAGCTGGGCGGCTGCATGTTTCTTCTTCAAACCTCTATGAAAATCCTTGCATATAGAAAAGGCAAAATTTGGCATCCCTACATTATTAACATTACAAAAATAGTTAATTAATGTTAAAACTTTAGCAAATTAACGTAGCAAGCACCACAAGAGGAAGAAATTTGCCAGCTTACCAAGAACCCCCGGGCCGCCATGATCAGAATAGTAAACGAAGATCCCTATCATTGGCCGTGTATTTTATACCTTACCGTTTCCACCTGAGAGAGCACTTTTGTCACCAAGTAGTACTGGCGTAGAGATTCTTAGCAGTGATGCTCCGCCCGTTAATCCTAGCACCACATATGATCCATCAAAGTTCAAGTTAATTATGATCACCTATTAAAGACCCGTTACAGCAAATGTCTACATGTTGATCCCACCAAATTAGTGGGAACCAAGTGATAAGGTATAGTTGCGCCGGAATGGCTTTTTGAGTTTTGATCATTCACATCATTGCTTTTTTTCTCTCCCTTTCAATTAAAGAATTCCTTGCTTTATTTTAGTGGAACCAAATGATAATGTAGTTGCCACCAATCAAGATTGAACCTTTAAAATCATACAACAATTGTCCAAAAAATATCGGTTGAGTTCAACAAATTCGTACTATGATTAATCCTTATTTATTTATTTTAAAAATAGGTCACCATCCAAATAAATGTTATGCAACAAGTTAATTAATCACATCTAATAATCCAGGAAAGATTTTTTTTAAAGAAGAGTCCAAAAAATAAAATTCATAATCTAAAAATGCATTATATAATTAATAATTGGTCAGGCTTTTTTTTCGACTATTTTCTTTATTGCAAATTATCTTCTTCTTTT